GGAAACGACAGATTTGAAAAAAAATATATATAATTTTTAAACCAGTAGTTGTCACTCTGAGATAATAAGTCACTTGAAATATTTCCTTACACTCATCTTAAAATTGGATTTATCTATTTTGTTTGAAGTGAATTGATACCCTTTTTCACGAAAACATGTTGGATCCAAGTTAAATTGTGCCACTTCATACTTCTGCCTTCTGAATATCAGGCTAGTTATTGCGAAGAGTAAGTAGTGAAATGCGCAATGTAAATATTGATTAATATATTTATAGCGCATGTAGTTTCTTTAGAAGCGGTATCTTTAAAGCAAAGTTTGGAACGCGATAATTCCTAATTTGGATTAAATAATTCTGTCGATTATACGATATTCTGAAAAAATATTCAGAATTGGACTAAATGGAAAAAAACTCTGTTACACGAAAACACATCTTATTCCGTGCAAAGCAATACGAAATATATCCGACGGACGTGTGCAAGGTAATAAAATACACATCGATTACGTGAAACCGTTTTGAGTGGATTATGCAATAATCAAATGAACGTCTCCGACTGAACAAAAGCCTTTGCTTTAGTTTAAATAACTAGGATAAAGAATCAATCGCTTTTCGTTAACGGAAAGGTACTTATAAATATTTACCGCACAGGACTAACATTAACTTGCTATTAGCAGCAATGAATCCAGAATATATGAAGGTGAACTATAAGACATATGAAAGGCGTTCATAACTTTTTGTTTTTTGAGAAAGTTTGAAACTTGAAGAAATATCTAAAAGTGCCCTATGAAAATAAAATCCGCATTTAAATTATGCTACTTAACTCTATAATAGCACCAGCATTAAGATTAGTAGATAATGGTTTCGATAAAACAAAGTGTACCCGTTGGAACCAAGAGCCACGCTCATCGGTCTACGATCGATAGATATTGCTCTGGTGCGGTTAATCAGGTGTACCCAGCGTCTTTAAAAATATATAGCATTACTTTCTATTCAGAAATTAACTAAGAGCCTTGTAGATTAGCTATATAAACGCTCTAAAGTATATTGCTCTAAATTTGCTATCTAACATTTCCTTAGCACAACTAATAAGTAAACGAGATATATATCCGAGGCGTAAAAACGAAAACTTCTCAAAGCGAAACGTTCAAATTAAGTTGCACAGATTTTGCAATAAGCCAAACCTTTTTATTTTCTGTGTACCTTTTTATTTCTGAGTTACCTGCTCTCATTGCGATAATCTCCGAATACTCTGGCTAGTAATGCTTATACTAGAAGACTAATCTGATTGTTCAATGCGCTTTAGTAGGGTGTTCGGTTTGACCTTGCGCGCCTTTAAACAATTATCACCGACACGCCTAGGAAAGGAACCGCTTTCAAACTGCACAACTGAACGGATAAAAAAAGTACAGTACCATAACTAAACTTGAGCTCTGCGGTATCCATTTGCTTAAGTATATTTTTTTCTGATATAAATTACCAATGACTTAAAGTTTACTAAATTAAACAATCACTTAAAATTATGTAGGAGTGAATTGTATATGAAAAACTGCGCTTTTCTTTTTTTTGTGCAGAATAATAAGCCATTATTATGATGTTAAGCGTCAGCTGGTTCGTTCGAAGAACTAGCTAGTTAGAAAAAATAGAGAACAGATTAAATCGCCTGTAGGACCGCCCACAAAGTACTTTTGACGAACTTTGAATTTTAACGCTAACGGCTTCTTCTGACTGTGCGCGGCTAAACGTTCATTTTTCATCTCATTACCACTCTATTGAATGGTCACAACTTTTGTGCAGTCATCATTCTGAGAATGTTGAATGATGACGGAAAATTTGAGAGCAAATATAGTCCCCTTCTGCTTGGGGATATGTTTACTCTTAAAGAAAATCTGCCATAATGTTAGTTTGGGCGCAATCAGCGGAAGCACAGCAAGTTTGGTTTGCTAAGCAACGTCAACGCTGCGGCTTCAGACAGATAGACTTTCGAGTTGCGCTCGAACCCAGTAATCTAATGACGCCTTGATGGACTTGCTAATAAAGATTAGGGCAGAAAAAAAGGCACATGTATGGTACGTACAAGCATGTGCTCTTATAATTCGCCGGTCGGGTCGGATGGGTCGTGACAATTAAATTGACGAACTCGAAATGCACAGCCGGCGAATGTGCAAATGTTTTACGCAGAATTGTTTATTGATACTTTTTGGATTGGAGTCATCCAGCGTTTGGAGCAAAAGCTCATTAATCTGAGAAGAATTGTTAGAGTACGGTAGAGCATTAATCTATGGCGGTCCCTAGGCTAAGGATACTACTCGATATACATGAAAATGTCAAATTAACGTTGATGGTTTAGAGCACTAATGACAACATATTGTCAATTCAAGTATTATCAACTTATCTGTTCGTTTCTCTGTTTGTCTCAAAAGAATAATGCAGAATAACTAGTGAAACGTTTTTTCTAATATTCCTGTAAACATAATGTAACTACCATAAAATTGTAAAATCAGTATGGCGTTGATTTTTATTTTTGCGTTTTGTATTTTGGCATTTATGATACAGTTGAAGAATTTACCATCATCATCGTGGCAAAATCCTTGCTTACTAAACTTGGAATCTTGATTTTAATTATTTTAATCGTTTCCGTAAGCGCGGTGACTTGGACGGCCAAGCGCTCCTAGTTCAAGGAAGACCAAAAGCCACTGCTTTAAATCTCGTCAATAGCATATATTACACAGCCTATGTGAATAAAAAAAAGTTATTTGCTAATCCTCTGATAACAAAATAATAATTTTCAGCATTATTTAGACTAATCCTGGAAAAAAGTATGAGAAGAATTTTACATGGTTTTACTCTAAATTAGGTGGAATCAAATACATCTAATCCTGTATTTCACGTAAAACGTTACAGTGAAAAGGCAACTCGTTTTGGAATATTTCGTTACCACTGTAAGAGTTAAGGGCTAGGCCAGAAAGATCTAGCTAAACCTTAAATGATGTTAAACGGCCACCTGAACACCAGTAGCGACTGGTTTGGGAATGAGGAGATTAGTGTATGATTTTTAAAAAAAATCTATATTATTCAATAAGCCATAGCTTTCCGAGTATTTTTTTTATTTTTGGAGTATAATTAATTGGACATACTAAGTGAGCGATAATTAATTTTTGAGTAGAGAAACTTTGTTTCAAATGGTATAAGGGGCATGAAAGTGTAGCGGATAAAAAAAAACAATGCCGCAGAGAGTTTTAGGCAAATCACGACGAAACGTATAAAACCATTCAAAATGCTCATAGGCAACGTTTTCCCAAAAATATCAACAAGCTTACTTGAAAGAATACTCGCAGCTAAAATGAAACAGCCCAAAAGTCTATAAGACAATAAAGTCGTGAGTTCGGTATTAGCAAACCAAGTGTCTATCGCATTTAGAGACAGTGCACAGTTTTCGAAGAAGATTGCTTGGAGTAATGAAGCTACTTTCAAATTAAATGGCACAGTTCATTGATATAAAGATACTTACTGTAAATTCACATGTCACATAGGAACACCATGTAAATTCACCAGAAGTTGTAATGTAATGCGGCATTTTAAACAAGGAGTTCATCGAACGAATTTTTTGACAATGCAGTGCTTGATACCAATTTTATTCTAAAATCTGTTCGGTAAAGGTTTGGTGAAAGTAATGAGTTTTATCTTCAACAATACGTAACACACTATTAGCTTGATCTAAGAACATATCTTGGTCAAAACCTTTTGATCGGACGTAAAAATTTCATAGAATACACTCTCCGTTGTTCAAACCTGACGCCAATGGATTGCTTGTCGTGGAAATACCTTTTTAATGAAATTTACATCTAAAAACCCATGACGTTAAAAGATTTTAATCAGCTACAGCTAAGCAAGAATGTGCCACCATACTGAATGAAACGTTTGTCAAAACTTGTGAGTCAAGAGCCCACCATTATCGGCACTACATTGCCCAGAACGCAAATAATTTGGATCATATCGGTAAGAGGGGAAGTTGCTTTGCAATTTAGTATTAATTATTTGTAAATAAAAACAGAAGCTATTATTATATTATTAATATGGTGAGAACCTCCTAATCATATTATAATTATACAACAGTTCTTTTATTTCACTCGTTAAGACAAAGGTGATGGAAGTTTAAAAATAAAGCTCATATTGTAAAATAAAAGTAAATCTAAACGTTTTGAACTCCAACTAATGTCGTCCCTTAGCAACTATCCCATCTTCAAAGTGTCATTACTCAAAGAATAATTTAAGTAACTTTACGCAACTTTTCCTTTTTTAAGCGTCAATAATCAGTACAGTCAACATGGGAATATGGGTATCACGTTTTACTAAAATATACAGAACAAAAAACAGATAGGAGCGCGAAGTATTAAAGATTCCGGTTGGCCAACGTCGAAGTAGGCAACAATGACAAGTCCAGAGGTTATCTTTACCAGTAGATACGACATTTTTAATCTTTTTTTGATTACTTCATCTCGAAGTTCGATTTATAACGTACATGTACATATGCTTTATCAACCATTTATGCCATTATATCAGCCTTTAAGGGCGACAGTGACCTATCAGTGACGTCTTCCTGATGTTTCGAGATTTCCTTCGCTTCGTAAGTCACTCACTATAGCAGCTTAAAAGAATGACTAATTTAAAAGCCACTGACGTAGTTTTAATTGCAGCTCCTTTTCGGTTGAGAGGAATCGCCCTTATAAAATCAATAACAGTTGAATTCTTTTAACAGACGTTTCTAAAGAACAAACGATTCTCTAAGTGAGAGTCGTGAATCTATGGTAAAGCGCCGGGGTAAAGTCAGGTAAATGACGATTAAAGAGCCTTGACGCATTTTTTCACCATTATCCGTAAAATCACTGAAAGACCCCAAGGGAATTATTGTGAAACACTCAATAATAGTTTCTGTCTTAGCTGTTATTGTTGTTGTAATCGTATGTATGTCGTTAGCCAGCTGTTGTGCCCAATCGCTCTTTAATCGAAGCTTTCTCTTTTATCGATATCGATAGCTTATCGTCCATTCTTTCTTTTTTGGCTGTACCTTTGTCATTGCTCCATTGTCTACATACCTATTTTCGGGGCTCATTCCGCCTAGAGAGGATAAATGATGACAAACATTCTGGACGACTTTTAGTTATGACATAAGATGACGTTTTATTTATTCACTTTTAAACTCTCGCTCGAATTATTTTTTTCACTATAATATTATTTAGTATCCGCGTGTCACAGTTAGCTTGGGTCATATAATGCTATAGTTCTTCTCAGTATAATATACCACACTGGTTGACTTGCCGTAACGATCGTCTGGAATACACCATTTTCAAAGAAGCAGTAGAATAGGGATAATAGTTGGGCTTTAGTTTCATGAAGATGAGTAGGCTAAAGTGTTTATAGTGAGTTCATTAGCTTATTGAATTTAACGGCATGTAAAATATTTCGTGCAGTTCAATGATGTTACGAGCTAGGTGATGTACACGATACGGTGGTGCACTCAAGACCTACATATCGGTGGGATGTTTCAGGGTTCCGATATTTTGAGAAAAGTACAGCGTCTTTCAAAATACAATATTATGTGTAGTTCGTGTTGGCATAGCAGATTCGTCTTCTCATTGAATAAAATTTGCATTTGATGCTGTGTTTTATTGTAACGATAATGACTGCTCACGCCAAGACGCCAGCTAAACCACACGCCTCCTACGCTACCCGAGTAAATTCGTGAAACTTATACAGAAAAGTATGAGAGCAATGGAAAAGCTAAACATGGTAGGAAGCAAATTCTAGCTATATTTTTGCTGCTTGGGGAAGAAACGTCAATACGTAAGTAGTACGACCATTATAATAAGTTATGAGTGTATCTGGCTTGCTACAGATGACAATTAGGAAAATTTCTGTTTTAATGCCATAGCGTTAGCCTGTACCATGTTTCTTTTCCTGTAATCATGTTTCTAAAAATTACAACATGGCCATCAAATAATTAATTTAAGATCGTTCTGAATTGTTTAGACAGTGACAATGGTGGAAAATTCGTACAATCTAAGGTGAAATAAATGTTTTTATGTTTGCATGTAAATAAATTAATTGATGAATAAATAAATACGTTGTTGACCGGCGAACGGAGATGCCTGTTACGTGCGTTTTTTGGCTGTACACATGCAATGCAGGCTTTCCAATAGCATATGTTGGTAGCAACGGGACACAACCACCTGAGTCGTCCTCTCATTCTCCATAGGCTGTCATATCGATGGCCTGTTTATCTGGCGTATTATCTTGTAGTGTCAGCTGCAATCACGACAGTCTCATGGATAGACAATTAAATGTATTATTGAAGCTCAGCGGCAATCAAAGCAAAAGTGCTCCTAATCGTAACGCTTTGTCGAATCAAGAAATAGAAGATCCAATCAGTCTTACCTTCCGATAGCCATGCCACTCTTTTCTTTCCTGTTAATAGTAATAGTATAAAATTGATATAATGATACTAAAAAAAACTGTATGTGTACAAGTTTATGCCGCTGCGTATGTACTATTTGTACATTGTGTGCGCTGGCAATGTTAATTATTTAATTCGACTTTGAAGATTTGCCTGTTTTCGACTAATTCAAGTTGTCTGCTGTGGCGTCTTCAGGCAATTGCAAACGACGACCACGACAGCCATGAGATCGTGCCACCATTCGTGGTATAATATCCTTTCATTATATTATATTACTGTAGGTTTCAACTGGGTTCATTATCTTACAAACGTGGCACCTTGATACAATCACTCATTTATAACTTGTACCCGGCTACTATAATAATAATAATAATAATTATAGGTGCCACCTGTTTCATAACTGCTACCCATTGGTTCGACGGAATTAACGTCCTACAACTCTCTCCGCAACAATAAACGGTTACAGAATCTACACGACAACAAGAATAATGGCTTTTAAGCCGCGAAGTCTCGGTCTTTTTATCATTCTATTGACCGCAACAACTCAGAAAGTTTTTACCAACCGGATCCGATAGTAGTTACTCTTCGTATTTTATTTGAAGAAGGGATCCCCACTTCCGTAACAATACAAATGCTAAAAGCTCAACGCAATAAAATATTGTTCTGTATGTTTCAGTCATTCTAGTGACACAGATCATCAACTACTGGCACTAGCACAATGATGTAGAACAGTCAAAATGCAATTGATGCCTACGTGTAAATTAGCATCTGGCTTGCGGTGGTTTCCAACAGGTCGTGGTTTTCAGTTAATGTCACCGAAGGCACGGTAGGCATCACCTTTTGGCGACTGTAACTCCGTCGAGGAATATAGCCACTCTGATTCTTCTTGTGTACCTTTAAATGCTTTGTGAGGTGATCGGATCGTGAAAAACGCTTCTCACATATTGAGCATTCATATGGTTTGATTCCGGAGTGTGAACGTCGATGTCGAGCGAGTTCGTCTGAACGGCTGAATCGCCAACAACAGCCGGGCCATTGACAGGCAAACGGCTTCTCACCTGTATGTCGCCGTAAGTGGGCTTTGAGATGAGAACTTTTCGAATAGACCTTAGCGCAGCCCTCATACGTGCAATAGAAAACTTTATCCGCATCATTAGGTTTTGAATGGCGTACGTACTTACGGGGTACGCGGGTAATCGGGGGGATGCGTTCTTCTCTCAGAAATTTGCTCTGTTGGAGAAATATAGCTGTTTGCTCATCAATGACGGTAGGTACGACCTGTTCTTGTTTAATGTCTTGCATACCCATAGCCTGATCAACTTCGCCTCGAAAACCGGATAAAGTTTCTAAACCAACTCCAAGAACGACAAACTCATTGTTAGGGTCATCCGCGTTGCAATGCTGCTGTTCCGGTGCGGTTACAGTGCAATAGTCTGGCCCGCCAATACTGCACTCTTCGCTAAAATATCCAGGTGACGTTCCGTTCGTGTACGAATCAGGTGATGGTTCCGATTTGACAAACAACGTAGGGAACTCCGGAAGTGGCCCGCTCTGTTGATTTTGTTGATTGGAGAAAATATAACCTAAATAGGCATCAGTCTCAAGCTCTCCTAAGGAAGTACCAACTCCCTGGGAGAAATTTCGATCACTTAGCCCAAGGCTGTCAACTCCGTTTTGTTCTGGCACCATTACGTGGTCAAGACTCTCACACTGTCCGTAGGTAATAGTTTGAAACCCAGCTACTTGGTCACGCCTAATCGATAGATAAGTCGAATTCACTGAACTAATAGGGGGTTGTAGGTGCTCCAGGCTTCCCTGCAGCTGCGCACTGCTCAACGGTTCATAACTGAGTGTTAATTCCTCAGGCGCCTGTTCTGTTGCAGCTAGAGGGTAATCCCTTGACAAAGAGACGCTACGTTCGCTATCTCTGTTGTTTAACACGGTATCGCTCTCCCCATTGCTTCCCGGGTGATTTTGCGATGGCTCCACGAGTTCCTGTACACACTGGCCCTGACCAAAGCCAAGATAGTCGGTACCGTCGAGCGAAATTAGAAGAGCTGCAAGACACGAGAAATCGAAACACGAATCAGTATGACTGTTTTAGCACATTCACAATAAGCACACGCACGCTACTCGCTTTTGGTATAAAGGAGACTGAATTGTGTGGGCCTCCACGCAACAACTGCAGCCTCTTGCCCCAACGGCACTGACAGCCATGTCAATGCCCGCTCTCTCACGTATGCCGGGCGGCCGATGAGTCGTCGGCTCACCTCAAGAGGAAGAACAGACGATGATTGAAACAACGAAATAATGCCAACAATCTCAAACCGCTTTACTAGTCATTCGCTTGGTGGACGGACAGCATGATGACCTAAGTAGTAGACCGCTGTCACATTCAGCACTCCAGCATTCAGTCAATCACTCAATCGGTCAGTGAGCGTCTCGATTAGCACTACACAATGCTCGAACAGCAGCAGCGGCAGTAACAACAACAGCACATCAACAATGACAAAAATAGCAGCCGCAGGCACAAAGCACCGACGGTCATTCCCGGCAGTAGCGCAGCCGGCATCGGCACGCACGCCGGTTTGTGCTATTTGACTAGAATAAGCGACGGTTGTGGTGGTCAACCACCAGTCAGCCAGCCTCCAGGCGCAACTGCTTCTGTCACTGTAACTAGAGTCGACGAAACAACGAGCAACAGCAGCAGCACAAGAACGTCTTCGAGAAGCAACAGCGATGCGGATTGCGGACGTTGTAGTCGCGACTGCTGTTGTAGTTGCTGCCAGCGTACAGGAGCGACAACAGCAGCAAAAGCAACGGGCCAATTACCAAAGCAGTAGCTCTCTCGGTTTTCTCTGCGCCGCGTCTCAATGCCTCGTTTCGGCACCCACCAGAAACAGACGGAGAATGTTAAATCTACAGCTCCCGATTCTATTGCGAATACTTTGGGTATTACCGTTTATTCCGACAAGCACCGGCCGAACGGAGGGTGCAGCTGGCAGCCGGACCGATCCAGACGACAGCAACAACAGCGTGATCACTAATGACCAAAGGCAGCGCCAGACCGGTTGAGCAGCATTGACACTGACGTTCTCTACCACCTTTCGAGTAGAAGAAAAAGTTAATCAGTGAAAAAAGGCAGCCGACATACACTAACGACTGGTTGTGGGCCACTCGACGCGCGCGAGATAGAGAGAGAAAGCGGTAATAAAAGTAAGAGCATGGTTTGCCTCACGGACAAATCGAGCAGCGTCTCTCTCCATTTTCTTTTTAGGTGCCTCCGGAAAATGCCACGCACATACAGACCATGATAAACCATCGAATAAATGATGTCTCGGGAACTCGAATATTCATAATAGAGCTATGGAATTTTGTAGTTTTCTTTCGGATCAATGCAGCAAATCGATTGAATAAATGTACGGTGGTGTAAATTGTAACAAAAATTTCTGAGCTTAGTAGTGGCAAAAATCTAACATTATCCGCTGAGCAAAGCATGTATAGGGTTTATATCGATGCTGATTGTAACTTGAATGCGTGAATTTACGCACATACACTTCGTACATTTGTTTGAATCCTTCTACTTGGTACAGCCACCATAGAGTGGGAAAATAAATGTCAGAAGGTTCCATCTCTACGAAGAGAAGTTTTAATTACTTTAGTGATTGTCGCTGGCAGACGTAAGTATTCTTGGCCACCAAAAAGAAGTTGATATCAAATAAAGACGTCCTAACAAACGTGTTCGTGTGTCAAATCCAGTTGACCTAATTATAACAGTCGGTTTTAGTAGCAAATTGCGACCTAACAGGTAGACTTAAGTAGTTTTTAGGGAAAAGCAAATAGTAAACCAAATCTGCATTTAAAGCAGTGTGTCAATAACAGATATAAAAGCGGCCCACATGCATTTGTGCAATGTCACGGAGACCGCCTTCAGTATATGCCACGCAATCTATAGTACGGATTTCTCTGCAGCTCCTTTGTTCACCACATTAACCATGACACATCACAGCCACAAAAAAAAGATTGAAATATTTCTCACTAAAGTTTAACACTCATATCAATGGCACATATTTAAAGCATCAACTTAGATAACGGATGACGTGCTTTGGAGATTAAGGATTAGTATGTCGACACTAAAAACAATCCTGTTGAACTTTTTTTCAAATACGTGGTCCGTGCCAATCTCGTTAAAGGACTAGGACTAGCTACGTCCCACAAACCTACAGAAGTGGCGAATACGATGTTGCATGTAACCGTGTTACTTGACTGCCTATGTGGAATGTCACTGGATGAGAACCTACATTCGAGGCATCGATCCAATGTTGATTCCTCAATCGTGCTAATTGTATTGCCCTCTATAGGAGCGTTTGAACTAAGTAACATCCTTTGCACTAAAGTGTATTGTGCGCTATCCTGTGTAGCTGCTAGCAAGCAGTAAAATGCGACTGACCACACCGGACTTTTCAATATGGACTACCCAAAAACGAAAATCTTTTGGAAAGGGTAGAGAAAACCATTATTTGAAGCCTTGCACTCGATCTCGGCGCCTGAACAGTTTAGGCAGCATTACATTACGAATGAGCTAAGTTAGGCTGCGTTATTAAAGCGGATCGAAATACGACGGCAGAAGAGCAGCAATGCGCTCAGTGCATGTGGATTAACTCATCTACGAATTCGTCAGCCGTCAAAGCTGCTCTGCAAAAGAAATTCGATCCTTGACCAGCCGCCTGTTTTCTTCATATGAGGTAACACAGCCGAGCTCAGCCTTTATTGTTGTATGACTACGAATGATCTACAGCAGGATTCTCTAGATTGAAGTGTTACCGTATGCCTTTAATAAGTAATGTGTCCACTAGAAACTGTTACAATCCCTCAGGCCTGCGCATATTTGAGTCGCAGGCAGCAGAATAGACTTGCCAAGTTAACCCACGTTACGACTCTCCTGCACTGGCAGTAAAACATGGCTTTCTGGAAATGTTGTGCCATTTCGCTTGCTTTCTCCTACATACTAATCGCTCGCTTTTCCTTGACTATTTACTTGAGCAATCATTCGGACTGGCAGTAACGCTTCTGGAAAACGTCTAAGTAACAACCGGACCAGGTGTAATTAATCTATTAGCGGATAACGTTGCACTACTTGAGGAGCATCAGAGAGAATAGCGTTTAGAGCGGTGCGAGTTTTCGAAACAGCTTTTCAGACCTCGCTGTTTCGAAATAAAGAAATGATTGGTAATTCGTCTTTCTATCTGTTGGCAGGTTGCGCCTTAGCAGATAAGCAGACAATATGATCCTGGAAATAGGATCTTTGTTCGGGTAACGAACAAAGCCAAATCCACTGGAAGTGGATAGAAGGGCCGCAACAATGGAACGACTGCATAAGCACTAACAGCGTTCACACACCGGTCATATAATTCGTTGATTATAACCTCTTTCTCAGCGACTTAAGCCTCGAACGAAGCGATCATGTACTATAGTAAACAAAATATTTTAATACTATAAGGCGCCGATGTGATGCATATTTCTTAAACAAAAAAATAATTAAGCGAATATTTTCTAAAGTACTGTGATGTTTTTTGTTAATAATAATACTATTGATTGTTTTATTAGTATTGTGCGAGCATGACCAGGTACCACCTTCATGTGTACACATATAGGTAGTAAACACTGGTACATTATAACCTCATAAAGTACATCCCTAGCTAAAACTTTTCAGCGCTTTTTTATACAACTTTTAAATATTTTCTAACGCATACTGGTAAATTATTTTTCGATTCTGATCTTTTGTATAACAGGTTATTTTTCGAAACTACCCTGTGTTGAAATAGGTCATATATTTATAGTATTAGCAACTTTAGGCTTATAAATAGGAATGGATATTTTTTGCCCTAGATTTAGTAGTGAAAATACAAATATATTTCTATCGGACGGGAAGTCTTACTCAGGCTTGTAGCTGCTGAAAACTTCTCCACATAAACAAAAGCCTAGGGCTATATTATGCTGCATAATTACCTAGTATTACTAATTTAAACATTTTGGTGACATGGCTATGAGATGCTCAGAAGCCGAAAATGTATCAAGAATGGAAAATTATCATTCATACAGATTATAACGAAGATTTTTCGTAACGCAATACGAACACATTATAGGGTGCTGGAAAGAGTATGATATCATATCATAATGTTAAATCATACTCTATTTTCATATTTGTCAATTATGTTATGAACGTTTGTATCTCTCGCAGTTTACCTTTATTGAATCCTGCTTTGCTTAATTGAGTGCTTAATTGAGCAATCCTGTAATTCGTATACAGGAAACAGTAAATTTGATGTTAACTAGCATTTACGAATCAGCACTTTTCTATCCTACATTCTATTTGTTAAACGTAGTTTAACCGAATTTTTATGGTAACTAATCAGAGAATATAAAAAAAAATCGTGCCATAGCCCTTACAGCGGTGAACTCCACAGGCAGCGTGCAAAATGGGTTGAATTAGGATAGTTCGGTCAACTAGCTACAACTCTAAAATCCTTATCCTGTAAGACATATGACGATGAAATAAACTGTAGAAAACTTTACGACGGTAAGGTACTAACGATCGTCATGGCCCTCCTGTCACTACGCACACAACCGACAGTCAGAACATCCGGTAACTGTTTGTTAAGATCTGAGGCTCCTTCGAATGCCTGAGAGCACTGAATCCGTCTGACCACTGTTTCAATAAGAGAGACCCAGCATCTAGCTTATATTGCTTCTCTTTACATTGCCCTGGGCACGTTTTTCTGATTCACTGATTGTTCGAACCATCGTCGATTGATATGGGCATCAGACACGTCGACAGCACAGACGAATAATAACCCAATGAGCCCTCGGGCTTCATTTTGCCCCCACCCCCATTCACAGCCTTGACATACGTTTGCTGTTTCGTTTCTTGAACCAAAAAAATGGGTCCATTTTGTATTATGTTTCCAGTGGAAAAATGGATTAGCGCAACAGGAAGATTAACAGGCCTCCACACGAAGTAAGTAGTACGTTAGTTTGGTATTATTAAATAAGCGTAAACGTGAGCAAGGCATCTCTTTTACGCTGGGTATGTAAAATAGCAATACAGATGGACCTATACTTTCTAATCAATTATGATAGAAAAAAACGCGGAATTCTGTTCTGCTTTTTATGGTACGAACCTTCTTTTTTACAAAATTGTATAGGAAAATTGAATGTGCGTGAGGAACAGAACAATCATGACGTGATTCTGCTCGTAGTCGTTCTCGTGAGCCCATCGTTACCACTAAGCTAGCCGCCATGACTGTTAGGTAATCCAGTTATATATATATAATTGTATTTTATGTTTTCTGTGTACTATACAAATATATATGAATGAAAATTGTTCAAGGTAAGCTTCCTGAATTGGCTGGTAATATGATCGCATTTAATTGGGCCCAGTAGATTATGTTTATCGGAAAGGTTTTAGAGAATAGGTTGTTTATACTCTGCGTAGAAAATAACTAGTGGTATAAACCTAATTTCCTTAGCGATCCTAGGAGAACACATAGTATTGACTTTTTTAAGAATATAATAATATGCAACTCACACGTAGCTGTTCTGATATGAAGGACTCAGTAAGTGAAGGATTGGAGAGAAAATTAAGTGAAAATTGTATTCCGAATATCAAAGTCGCTTATCTAGTCTCGGAAACTCAGGATTCAGCTACTGCATTGGTCTGGTTTAGGTTGACATTGTGTAGATACGTGTCTACATGTATAGGCAAATGCACACAATTTCAGGAAGATAAAACAATCGTCAGACAAGAGTGTCAAGCCGAAGCAACTTGGTTATAGATTAAAAAGCGATCTTTCTTGAAGACTTGTGCTCACCGGTCGTCATAGGAATAACAAAATTTTGTCGATAGTTAGTATAAGGCATCTCTGTATTTCCTTAGAAAACGCTGAAATATAAATTAACTTGGATCCAATGAGAGAAGTAATCACTTAGGTTTAAAAATGTTGCCAAACACTTCTAACATCCGAGGTTGCTGCTTTCTGTGCAGTCCAGTCGGAGGAGCGTCATTCACTAGTGGCTTAAGTTATAGTTCCCTCATGATCAAAGCTGACAAATTTGATAATAGCTTATAGCAGAGCAGCACTTTGCGCCCCCTTTGTTTGCTTGACTACTCGGCAAATGATGACGAAGACAACAAAACGGTGGAAGTCTTCGTGGCAGTCGTATTGTTTATCAATAAGGTCAGTAATTTTCTCCTGTTTAGAGAAATAACGTTAGCTAAGGAGCTAATGGTTTTGTCAGCCTCACAGAAAGATAAATGTTGACTTTTTGCACAAATATAAAAATGTTCTAGGCAAGTTCACAGTGTTTGCCGCTGTGCATGCAATATAGACTATAACTCAAATCGACACCAACAGTTAACTTATTTTTCCTACTGCACCTAATCAGCTAAACTTTTTCAGTTCTTCTCTTTGCCCATTGTCTCAACAATTTTGTTGCTGTAAAACAAATAATCCATTAATCTATATGATCACTTACAGTCAATGTTTCCATATTTTTTTTAGTGCTTCCGTTACTTTGGCGCCTATAACCTGTTTCGTGTACGACCGTATTTCACAGACTGCAACTCGATCACAGATTCAAACAATTATAGTTACCAAGTTGTAATTCTTTTGAGACCCTGTTGTACGAAATCCGTTGTTCACTTGCAGCTCTCCCGTTACACTAACCCTGATTCTTTCAATGTAATACATTCTTTTGATAGAACGGTTATTTTGAAGCCACCATCTTTCTCCACGAATTAGTTACCATGTTACACTGATCACGCTGCCTTGTTGAAGTGATCCCGTTTTTTTGTTTACTAACCTCATTACTTTGTTGCAGTTAGCCTATTCATTCCAATTTCCCCATCGGGGACAATTTGTTTGAACACTGCATGTTATTCTGCTACAAGAAATAATTAACTTTGACATTACTGAAAGAAAGATTACTTCTGCATAACATTAAATTCCCGCTTCGCGAACGGCGCGGCGCAATTTTTTCGTTGAAGTTATTCCTAACACAAACCACAAACGATTAGACGAGGAATCTTTTTTGGCCGAAATTTCGTGGTAATATTTAAAAAAGCAATATTTGAAGATAAACTTTTCAGACTTTTTCTAACAATAACACAAACCGCCCAAAAAGGACCAACGTTTTCCAGATTAGCTTTATTATTAATTATATAATTAATATTATTACACATTATTATTAAATAAGAGTTTCGTGGCCCTAAAGTTTATTTTGTTCGCCGGTATGGTGACTTTATTTTAGAAGACACGAGAATGTCATCGAATTTGTGTGGAAATAGTTTAGTCCAGTTCATAACTGTTTAGGTATGGGGTTTATAGAGATCCACTACCTTACCTCATCAGCCTATATCTAAATCACTCTTTTGATGAAGATAGAGGTGTGTACTCGAGGTTATTGAGATCTTTTAACAT